CAAAACCCAAACCAAACCAAACAAAAAACCAACCAACTAAACAAAAATAACACCACACCAAAAAACACCCACGATGTTTTGAGAGACTGGTCGGGGAGTTTATAGTGACTTTCACCATATGATATACATCTGTCTGATAAAACACGTTTCAAGCTCCTTTAAAGAATTCCTACATGCTTCTTGCTGCTGAGTCAGGGTTGGAATTCTCATGCAATATCCTCTGATACTTCAGTCCAAACTGTTAATTATATAGATAAGAGACATCAACAATTAAACAATTGTAGACCAAAATGTATTACTACAGGGAAATTATTAAGGTTTTTTTAAAAATAACTGATGAAGCCTAAAATACACATTTTTATACAAAATCTACGAAACTGGGGATATAAAGCCTATAAAACCAAATTTATTCTATCCATTTTACAGTTGACACAATTTTATGTTACTAGAGTCCTTTAAAAAATGTATACAAGTCTATTATAAAAGAACTCAATAAGTGCGTTCCAAACCCGAGGTTCCTATATCACTAGTAAAACCAGAGACATTTCATAGAATCATGGAAACATGAAAACACAAAACCATAGAATCATGGAATATTTTGGGTTGAAAGGGACCTTAAAGATCATCTAGATCCAACTCCCCTGCCATGACCAGGGACACCTTCCACTACACAAGGTTCTCAGAGTCCAATCCAACCTGGCCTTGAGCAGGCCTCTCTGGGTAACCTGTGCCAGTGCCTCACCACCCTCACAGTAAAGAATTTCTCCCAGTATCATGAAATCATAGAATCATAGAACATCTTGGATTGGAGGGACGTTTAATATCAACTTGTTCCACACTTAATCTAAAAAAAACCCCAAATGACAAAACAAACAAAACCCAGAAAAACAACACAATTGTATCTTCTCCCAAGATCAGACTCCTGACGCCTATTTGGTGAGAGAATACTGACTAAATCACCGAATACTTTTCCCCATGATTAGGTACAGGCCAAAGCAGGGTAGAGTTAATGGCACACATCCATTTGTACTGGCCATGAAAGAGCCAAAAGATGTTGGCAGTTTCCCAGAATTATAAAGCACGATTTTTCTTTGTATTTTGGTGGTGCACAAGCAAATTAAACTTTGGAAATTCCTTTTTTATTTTTTTTGTTCCTAATGAAAACCACAACAGCACAGAGTCTTATCTTGAGTCATCTGATGTTATGGTTTCAAACCCACATCAGAAGATACTGATTCCATGGCTTTTAGTTGTTTACATACTGAAATGATTTGACACTATGCTGTCTGGTTTGGTCTGCTTTCTCTTTAAACTTTTGAGTTTAAAGTTTAAAATATATATAGTGATGCTTAGTCTGAAGATATGGACTAGGAATACTTTCCTAGACTAAGTGAATGTTTGCTCAATAACAGATAAAAAAGAGCAAATGATGTTTCAGTTAGACATTACAGAGTAAATAAGTACTTTTTATCTCCCACTTTTCATCTCCAAGTATACATAAACAACCAAAATAGGAGAAACAAAATATAAGACTTCTTGTAATTATATGGTATTACCTGCATGCTGCAAACTGGGAAAATGAGTCAAAAGAGAAAAATGGAAGCATCTGGAAGACCTCTCTGTTTGTTATTCCAATGAACTTCAAAGGACTTAACAGTATAAATAAACACTTTAAGTGAATATCACTACTTGTGCTATAAGTGTTGCTGGCATTTCCAGGACACTTAAAAAAATTGATTAGTGCTACACTGGACTGCTGAGTCATCAATGCCCGTCCTTCCACTGGGACAAGAGGATGTCTTGTAAGCAGGTTATTTATATTTTTAATATCTTCAGCAGAAATTACAGTCTGGTTAGGTTTGGTAGCCATTAAATGGCACTTTTTGTATGTGCTGCCCTCATCTACAGATTTCTTATCAGCAGTCTTAAGTAAGAACAATGACAAATAGGCCAACCTCTTTTAGTCTGAAATAAGAAAGACAATATCAAATCGCGCAGAGTGCAAAGGTTTACTTTGGCTGAAAGCAAGACCAAGTCTCCATATTAAAGCTCCATGTATGCAGTCTCACTAGTTTATCCTGCTTGGAAATAACAGAAAAATAGAATCCAAAGGATTGTTTTCTTTTTTAATAAAAAGTGTAGGTGGTCTTGGACTCGCCAAGATATAATGTTTTTTAAAAAGCTGAACAGGCCTTGCTTCCTCTTCAGTATCTCTTTTAATTTCACAACATAATAATCATGATCATCAACCCAGGATATATTATTAAATTACTTTTTATCCTTTCTATGTGCTTTGAGAAAGACTATTGGAACATATTTATCCCCAGTGTATTGTGTGCTCCTAGATCCTATTCTGTATTGTCATGTCTGCAAATATTTACAAAGCAAAAAATACCATCTCATTCAGTGATGTAACTGACGTGCCTTTAATGCTATTCCATATCATTGCTTCAGACCAAAACAATGCAAAAACACCACTTCAAATTATGAAAGACAGAAATACTTTTAGTGGCCTACAGCCAACCATGGTCTAAACACTGCTTGTGAGCTCGTCACATGCATGCAACATTTGGAGTACCACTCATAACCTTTGGTTGCACAAATACAGACTTTTAGTCAAGAAATTCGAGCAACAGTTTGGTTCATTTGAGTAAAATCAGGGGGATCAGCAGTTGATCTGCTTTGGATGTTTGGTTCATTTGAGTAAAATCAGGGGGATCAGCAGTTGATCTGCTTTGGATGTTGTAACCTGATGCCCAGCTCCACTGGCCACACCAGAACAAAAAGTCTTCACAGAGAAAAATCAAGCAGATTCCCAAGTATAGAGACAGAGCAAGGCTGTATGTGGTCTGACTAAAAGTCTGTTACCCTCCTCAGTAAATGGCTATCCAGTAAAGAGTTGCAGAGATGTCTGACTTCAGCATGGGCATGTTTCACTACCTCTGTAGGCTGTAGGACTCACTAGCACATGACTCAGGAAAGATGAAAGGCAGTATATAATTACACATAGATCTGCCAGCAGCCCCAGTATTCATCCACCTGGTACACACAAAGTTCACCTACTACAAGTTGTCTCAGATAATTTTAAAGGTGTAAAGCCTAATCATAACATTAAATGATCACAACTAGGAAGAGAGTAACTAACTAATCATTTCAGAAGCTTGTTCTCTTCATCACTCCAAGAAGCAACTTCACCACAGGAAGTCCTCTGCAGAGTAAAACACCTGTCACACTGCCATTAAGGTGAAAACTTTATTTATATTAGGGGTTAATGACTTCTTCATTGACTACACAGAGGAGATCAGAGTAAAACACATTTTGATGTTTTAAGTAAATCACTGCAGTTTTCTATAAAGAAGCTTGTTTGAAGTTTGACTTGAATGGAAACTTGTTCAGTTTATTTCAGAGATGGTCCCAGTTCTTCTACAAAGTTTAAGATGGCAGGCTTACAAGTCATGAAGCTTGATAAGGTACATAATAGTTTTAAAGGACGAAACAGAAATAACACATATATGCTTTTATTACTTTTTTAATGAGATTTAACTGGATTTCTGTAACAGAATGAACTGCAATTCTGTCTTGTTTCTTGACTCAATATCTCAATTCTAAGAAAAAAAACTGTCCACCTTCACTATGCCTTCTTTCAGTGGTTAGAAATGCATACAAAAGATTATTAGGTTCAATATGGCTCCAAAGTTGAAACAGACATCATCCTAAATCAACTATATACCCATTACATGCATTGTATACATGCTGGAAAATAAGCACTGGTAAATACAGAGGACAGTCTTGGAAATGTCAAGTGACTGGGTTTTTGAAAAGGGTTTATAAAAATATATAAACTCTGTCAACTGAAAGATGTTAACTTGAAGACCGAACTTAACTCTGCTCATTTTCAGGGACAAAATCTTGCATTTCGCTGTGTAAGAAGGTACACAGCAACGTGCAAAAGCAGGTCCACGTGAGGCTGGAACACAACAGGCTGCTTCCCAGTGAGAGGCTCATCACTCTTCCCAAAGCGAAAGGTGTGGATTCCAGAGGTAGATTCTCAGCAGAGCTATTTTTATGCACCCTCCCCATTCATTCACCATGGGGTCACAGCACGCGGCCACGCCGCCCTTTCACTCGAGGCACCTGCGTCCCACTCAGCCGTGCTGCGGACCCTCGGCAGCATCTCGGCTGTCCAGGGCATCCTCCGCTGGCAGCGGCGGGAACACCACCAGAGTTTAGATACGCCAGCTGACAGCACCCTTCCTACCGAGCGGGCAGTATCCGAGAGCCCGCGGCCGCCCTGCAGGGTGCTCACCATCCCTGGGCATCACAAGGGACGAAACCAGTCCCGGCGAGGCATTGCTTGCCCAGCAGACCCAGGGGAACCCCGAGCCCTGGGACCCTCCAGTCGAGGCAGTCTCCCACCCGGAGGGCGGCATCCCGACAGCCCTTACAGGAGCAAAACGCGGCGACGGCTGCGGGTGGGAGGGGGGAGGCTGAGAGAGGAGCCCCACTTCCCACAAGAAGCCCTGAGGCGACGGCTTCGCCCACCACCCACACTCCCGCCACAACCCCGCCGTTTGCCCGGCATTGCCCCCGCCGTCGGCACATCACAGTCACACGGGGGACACGGAGCGAGGTGCCGGCCGCAGACCGGAGGGGACGCTGACGGCACCGCCGACTCCCAGGAGACTTCCTCGAAGTTGCCCTGAGAAGTTTGGGACCACCCGGAGGTTCAGTCGCTGGGCAGAGCTGCCCTCTCAGTCCACACGTCCCTGCTGCCACCTGGCCACACGCTCCCGGACCAGTCTCCAGGGACCAGACTTCAGGGACTGCCCCCCATGCCCCCGGCTGACCCCTCGGGGACGGGACCTCCACCCAGACAGCCCCCCGTCCTCCCCTGGGGATGCGGCCCCCGTTCCCGGGACAGAACAGCAGCCTAGAGGTTCGCTCAGGGCTCCCCCCACAAATGCAGCCCTTGGGAACAAATAAAGCAGCAGGACACTTACCATCTCGCCTGATGTTGGAAGCCCGCAGGGCTTTTATAGATCCGCTCTGGGCAGGGGCGGTGGTCCCCTGACGGCTGCAAAAGTTCGCACAGACGACGGCGTAGAGCAGGAGGAGGATAAGCAGTTGCATTGGGACCAGCTGCGAGCGGGACCGTGTCTCTGAGAAGAAACGGGCTCTCCCGCCGAGGGTTCTTCCCTCGCTCGTGTTCTTTCCCTCTTGCCGCGGGCTTTTTGGTTGTTGCGGGTTGCTTGTGTGTTTGGGGGAGTTGTATTGGGGGGGGGGGGTGGTGGAGGGGCGGAGGGGGAATGGCACAATCCCCGCAAAAAAAAGCAAAACCCCAGAGCACGGGAAGCAGCAGTCGCCGCCGACGCGCTACTCTCCGAGCTGCCTCCAAACTTCCTGCATGCTGAACTTTTGGCTGCCCTTCTGGGCCGGCCAAACTCGGCGGAGGTGCGGAGCGGCCGGGCCGGGTCCGCCGCCCCCTCCCCTCGTCCCGCACGGCCGTGCCCCAAGTGGCAGGCGGGAGCTGCCGCTGCGGGGCTGCGCCGCCGCCTCGCACCGCCCAGCCCCGCTCCGCCCGGCCCGCTCCGCCCGGCAGGAGCCGCCGCCGGGGTCTGGAGCGGCGGGAGCCCCGCGCTCCGCGCCGGGGCCGGGGGGAGAGGCGGCCCGGGGGAAGGGGGGGGAGCGGTGCCCGGGCCCTCCCTGAGCTACGGCCACGCCGTCCCCACTCCGGCCAAAGAGTGGCAGGAGGGGTGGTGCGAACGCCGGGTTCCCGGCGGGTGGGTGCGGGGGGGAGCCGTGTGCCAGGGGCTCCCCGACAGCAAAGAGGCCGCGTACCCGAGGGTCCCGTCACGCTCGGCCCCGCGGTGGCCACGTAAAAGTCATCTCTGGGCTGAATGACTCAAACCACCGAACTGCACCAGGGCGGGTGAGGAGACTTAGTAGGAAAATTGGATAACCCGCAGATGTCCCTGGGAGAAATACATGGACTCTTGTGTCATGCCAAGTACTGTCCAAAATCTTTCATAAAAAGGTAATTCCTACTAATTTAGACTCTCATTCAATTAGGTCTGGTATTAAAAGATTGTATTACTGCCTGGAAGACTTTGGGTCTAAACCAAAGGTATGTGAGGGTTGTGATCAGATTGCTAGTTTAATACTCTCTTTCCTTCCATTAGCTGCAATGAAAATAATCAAAAGGAAGATGCAGGGGAAAAAAACACTCAGGTTTTTTAACAGTTCTCTAATTAATCCTTCCCTACTCACTTTATTTCTTGAGACATTTCATATAGTCTCAGCCAGTCTAGCAAACTGTAACATGCTGCTAGACCTTTAACAACGTGAAACATACCTCATTAGCAGAAGAGGAATGTCAATACGGTGCTATACCAGGAGTCTTGGATGAGTCTTGCTACACTCCGAGAACTGCCTCTGGCTGTGTGAAGCATTTTCTCTGAGAGTATGTTAGGATGACAATGGGACCGAAACATCTTGTATGTCTTAAGAAACCAGTAGGGTGCAATTCTGTTATGCATAATTCATGCTTCTTTATCCCTTTCATGTTCCCCAAAACTGACAGCGAACCTAATCCTGCTCCCATGTGGTAGATAATGGAAAGGCTCCAACTGTCCTTCATTTGTGAGCAGATGTGCCTACATTTTAGGTGCCCATTTCAGGGGGGGAACTGGGTGAACAGAGGGAAGGTGGTCGATTCAATCATCGTAATAGAAACAGAAAGTCAAATAGAGGACATAGACCAAATGAGGATGGGGGAGCTCCAGAGATGTCTTTTGTTCATCCAGTCAGTAAGTCTGCCTCTTTCCAGTTGCCTTACAAGGAACTGGCAGAAAATGCCAATAGAATCCCATCTCCTTAGCTCTATTCTGAGTGCAAGTACCTTTTAACATAAAAGAAGGTGGTCAATATCCTGACCTTTACTACAACCTCGTGATGAAGTTGTGCTTTACTTATTGTCCTCAGGCCTTCCTTCTCTCTTAGACTTGAGATGCTAGAATCCATAACTGGTTGTCTTTGGGTGAGTAGCCATTTTAAGGTGGAAGAGGAAGAGAAAGGACAGATTACCTTCCACCAAAAAGTCAGACAAAAGGTGTTTTGACATTATCTAAGCAGTTGCATAATTCAGTCAAGAAAGGGCACTGTTTCCAAGGCTGTTTCTCTTTCTGTACCCAGGTTCATCTATATAAATTTTCTTATATAATATGTCTTCCTAAGAGCTTGTCTGGAACTAAAGTCTATCTGGCCCTATGCCTTCCTGACTGCACAGGTCCAGCTTTGACATGAGTGGAACAGGCTTTTGCCTTAAATATTCTACAGATATTTGACTGCTGTGCTCCCTGGCTTAATAAAGACTAGAAGTTTAAACTTCCTCAAGCTGACCAGGGCACAGAACTGAAGTTTCCTCAGCACTATTTTTTTTTTTTTTAAGAGTACATAGTGTTGTGATGCATAAGATGAAATTCGTGTTTCTGCAACTTTCTCTGTTGCTTAGAGAATTCTCAAGCAGAACAGCATGAGGCCTCATAAACTAGACAGTGATGAAAACAGGCAAGTGGATTCTACCACCAATGGCTTTGCTATATATCAAGAGGAACTGTGTATAACTCCTACCATATGCTCATGGAACATTTCTGTTCTTCCCCGTGCAAAGCATGGGATGGTGCCATTCTTTGTTCTAAAGCAAAATATATTTTTGTAGCAGAAGAGAGAAGTATTTTTTTCAGGTCAGAAAAACAGCCATGGAATATTACTGTGGGGTCCAAAATAGAGGCCTAGCCCTATGAACTACAGATATTTATTTTGCACCCAGTATCAAAAAATCCCAGATTTTTCAATTTGATGTAGAGGTGTAGAGAAAGATTTTGGGACAGAGCAGCAAGGCTGACGTGCAGTGATAAACCTTTGTTGAAAAGGCCTACACTTAAATCACTGTTGCTACAGCTTCTCAGTTCACTTTAAAAATCACTAAACCCAATAAAAATTGAAAGAGCATCTTTATAATAAAGAGTCACAAAACCCTCTGTCAAAGGGTGAGAAATTTGGATTATGCTCAGACATTTTTATAAGCATACGACTGGTTCTTTACTTTCTGGCAAACATTCTAGCACATTGGCTAATCTGTATTCTAAGGGTTCGGGATAATTTAAAGCGTTGGATGATTTCTGTAGGAAGACCTATAGCAAATCATGGTTACTGCACAAAAGGACGTACTGATGTATAAGCGTGATAACAGAGGTAATTACAAATTTGTCAGCCCAACTGGGATCCTGATAAAAAAACCCTTAACAGTTGATATGAAACTCAATTAATAAAAATTAAAAGGAAAATAATATAATTATTAATCAACCTGGAAAATCTTATCATACTGACTTGGAAATCTGGTATACAAACAGAATAGCATCAAATTATGACTTTCATAAGGTACCACTTGGTACCACACAACCTGAATCATATGGAATGAAAGTCACGCATACTAAATGTTTTCAAAGCTTGTTAAATGACAGGTTTAAAAAAGTTTACGTTAAAGGGAAACATTATTAAATGAATTCTTTTTAAGAGACCACCACTTAGGCTAATTTTTTACTTCTTCATTGATTTGCATTTTCAACAGTGACCTGGGAAAAATGCAGTCATTACTCATGACTTTTGAAGATGACAAAAACCTTGGAGAAGTAGTAAGATGATTTATAGAAATGGTGTTATGTGGAGACAGACATGTAGATACTGGGTATAACTGTAAATCTGAGTCCTTATGCAGCTCATGCTTTAAAATAGCCAATGACAGCACTGCCCAGCGCCTGCGGCATCCACCCGACCTGGTTTTAATCCTCTGAAAGTGTCTGGTGTAAGCCTGTCACACGGGTTCTCATTGTTCACGGAGAGAATTGGATACCCATCAGAGGGCACTCTAGCCCAGCGGTTTTAGGCAGTTATGCTGTGGTGGTCTGGAAAGTCCAGTTTCTCGCGACTGACTATGGAGAGAGCATACAGACCAAATATGTTCACAGTTAATGGTACAGTAGTTAATCCTAGAAAGCACTGATGCAGAAAAAAATTACAGGGGTGGATTATTGAGGAAGTCAATGGGCTGTAATCTTCCCTGTTATCATTTGTTGGCTGGGAGATGCTCCAGTGTCATACAGTTTGTCCATGAAGAACAGATGTACTCTGTGTCCACACCTTAGAACATCTGAGTTATGGTGATTAAGTAGCAAACCCCAAGATCTCTGTGCATTATCGCTGGGATTCTTGGATATTTATTTAAGAAAGGGAATATCAATTAGAGTAGAGGCATTATGCTCTCTTCTGTTATTATTAGACTGCTGCATCAAGTTCCTGTGAATAAAGTCTTAGAAAGGACCATAACAGAGTGAAAAACACTGAGAGGAAAACCACAGAATTGGTTAGAGATTGAGAAACATGCCATTTAGGAAAAAGCTTAAAATTCACAAGCCATTTAGTTTATCTAGGAGAAAATCAGAGGTGTCACAGCTACCTCCCAGAGGTAGGATATTGATTCTAGAACACTATTCCGTCTAGTGGACAATGACATATCAAAGTGAAAGCTGGACAGAGATAAACTAAGGTTAGAAGTAAAAGGCACACTTTCCAGTGTGGAAAGTTATGGAAATATCAAAGTTGTATACTCTTCACCACTAAAAATGTGAAAGACAAGATTTGATGTTTTTCTAAAACCAGTCAAGTGGTTTCAAGCTGTGCTTAGGAACCCACGGGATCAGTGAGAAAACAGAGAAAAGCATGTTTATATGTTGCATACTACAAGCCACAGGTGAATTCTAAGTGATTCTGCAGATCATTGGAAGTTGACAACTAAAAAAAAATACCTCCAGGGATTAATTCTGGGAAGTACTGTGATTTCTTTTATATAGGAGGGCAGTCAAGTGAGGGCAGCAGTGCTTGGCTTTGTGTTTGATAGGACTGATCACCTATCCTTATGTAAATTTTGGCTAGTTCACCACTGCAGATGTCAAGAGACAAATATTGCACCTACATGCATATCTCCCTCAGGGAGGAAGAGAAAAATGGTATCCCAAGCTGAACATGTTGATACATTAAATTTTGAGAAACTGTTATATCGCTCAGACTGTCCCACTGGTACCTAGTGACCGTACCAATTGACACATAGTCCTGCATGCAATATTCAGTCATGCTTTCAAAAAATGAGTATAAGCCACAATGATATAAGAAATATTGTCCTCCTGAGGTTAAGCAGG